CTTGGCAGCGGGCACCTTAACTTCTGAACTATCTCACCGGCCCCATTTTGATTTTTGGTTGTTTCTTTCTGAGACGAGGTCTTACTAGGTTACTCTAGCCAGACTGAAATGTGCAATACTCCAGCCTCAACCTCCCAAGAAGCTGGGATACAGACATTCACAACAGCACCAGCTCAAGAGGGAAGGGCAGCTGGGTCTCCAACAGTCCACATGTCCAGAAATGAGCTCCAGCTCGACTACAGAAGAGACATTGCTCTCTACTGACAGACATATGCCTGTGGCAGCTGTCAACATATGGAAGGAAGCCCATGCTGGCCTCCAGGCTTCCTCAGCATCACAAACAGCTGTTACACATTTCAAAGTCCACATTAGCCTCCTAGCCCTCCCCCATTCCCGCAGCTTCTTGTCCTCCTTATAACAGGCATGTTTTTCCACCCCATGCTCTCTCACTTCTCTTGAAGATAGCCCTGGCTATGACCAGTCTACTTCTTTCTCTCATTGCTCTGGACTCTTCCAGATGCCTCTGGATAATTTCTCTTATTCACAATAAAAAACCTCCCTAATGAAGAAGCCATTTCAGTGGTCTCTTTACCATGCCCCTCACACACAGAGGGGATATTCTTGCTCTAGAAAAGAACTAATTGAAAATATCTCAAGGGCTGGGTACATGACTCAGAGGCAGATCTCTCACTTACATGGAATCCAATGATGCCTTATATTCAACCCCCAACACCACAAAAATAAGCAAATCTGAAGTAAAGTATCACACTAAAGAAAATTAAAATTGAAATCTAAGGAGCACTAAAGGCCCTAGCTGGTGGGAAGACCTCCACGGCCCCCTTTTGCAGTTCTGCTCAAGTGGGGGCTAGTCAGGTGCCAGGCAGGTGAGTCCCATAATGATGAGCAAATATGTGGTGGAGAAATGGAAGAGAAAGAGAAGCAGAGTGGTCCATGTGCTGTGGAAAGAGGCAGAAAGGAAGAAATGAAGACGGTCAAGGGTAGGCTGATGTTGGAGGCCTGATTGCCACATGGGGCCATGGTACTGTCTGGGCCAACATTTGTGGCTCCTGTTGCAACCGAAGGCTCTGTGTGTGTGTGTGTGTGTGTGTGTGTGGTTGGTTGTCTGAGGTCTGACCAATCACCTGGAACTATGTTGGTACCCAAAGGCCATGCTGCAGTCAAGCCCACACAGACCTGAGTACCACATACTACTACCCAGGCCAGGGCTACTGCAGCCAAGGTCTACGTTGATATCCATACCTCCTGTTGCCACTGAGGACCATACTGATTCCAGTGGTCTGGGCTGCCACCCAAGGCCATGCCAATTGGGTTGGCCTATGCAGCTACCAGGGTCCTGGTGACAACTAGACCCAGACTGCTACCCAAGGACTATGTCTGGGTCCGTGGTCCTACTGCATCTGAGGTCTGTGTTGAAGTCTGTGGTCCATGTTACCACCAGAGGCCACATGGAGCCTGGGGTCTGGGCCACAACCTGTGGCCTTGTTGGTGTCCAGGGGCCATGATGCTGCCAGAACCATCCTGATCTGAGTGGCCAGTGCGTCCACCTGGAATCACGATGTCAACAGACGGAGCTGCTGCCTGGGTCCCTAGTCGGGCTGGGGTCTGTGTTGAAGTCTGTGACCAAAATTGCCACTAGGGCCTATACAGTGGCCTGGGATCTCAACCACAGCCTATGGAATTGTTGTAGTCTGGGGGCCATACAGATCTAGGTGGCCTGTGCTGCTACCTAGGGCCATGGTGTCATCCAGGCCCAGGCTACTCCCAAGGGCCAAGTCTGAGTCTGTGGCCCTAGAGCGGCCAGGGTCTGGATTGACATATGTGGCCTGTTGTCACTGAGGGCCGTGAGGATGCCCAGGGTCAGATATCCATCTGAGCCCAGGTTGGTGTCCTAGGGCCACGCAGATCTGAGCGGCCTGCACTGCTAACCAATGCCATGGTGATGTCTGGGCCAGAGTTACAGCTGAGGGCCATGTCTGAGTCTGTGTCCCCACTGCAACCAGGGTCTGTTGATTTCCAAGGTTCCTGTTACCATAGAAGGCCGTGCAGACACTCGAGGTCTAAGGCCATGCTGGTGTCCAAGGGCCACACTAAACCACTGGGGCTCAGGTCAATTTGAATGACCTGCACTGCTACCTGGGAAAATGGTGACATCCAGACCCAGCTGCTGCCAAGGACCATGTCTGGGTCTGTGGTCAAGTTGCAGCTGGGGTTTGTGTTGATGTCTGTGACCCCCATCACCTCAGGGGCCCATAGTAACCATGCACGATGAAATCAAAGGGCCATGCTGAGCCAGCCCCACCCTTTGCTAGCCCAGGGAAAGCTGGCCCCAACCCTCATGGGAGAGCTGGCCCCACCCCTCACCATAAGTGACAGTGAAACAACCTTGAGGGCATGGGTGTAGGGGAGCTGACTCCACCCTCTCACCTGAGGTCGATGGCCCCAGGGGCCTGGACTGACAGCTCAGTTACCATCCGCTCACAGCAGGGCCTTGGGTTGGCCCACCCTAACATCTACCCCATCCAGGACCTGCTGGAGCTTGTGAAGGGACTGGTCCTGTGGAACAATACCCACAGGGGCTCCATGACTCAGGGCAGCCACTGGATATCCCAGAGGCCTTGAACCAGACCCTTGCTGTGGATATCGTTCTGTATAAATAAAACACTGATTGGCCAGTGGCCAGGCAGGAAGTATAGGCGACTGCAGGACTGGCGGGTGAGAGAGATTTGTCCTGACCGTGGGCCAGGCAGGACAACTCTAGCTACAGACCCCAGACTCAACTGCCATCAACACTGCTAGTAAAGCTGGCAGGACAAAAGGGTGTACTGTGTGACACAGAGGCCCTCGATGCCACCCAGATGAATGAAGAGGTGTTGAAGAGGTGGGAAAGAAAGAGAAGTGAAGAGGTTTTTGTTTGTCTTGCTCTTGTTTGCTTGCTTGCTTTGTTTTGATTTTTTAAATTTTCTTGGCGGGGGAGTGGGGGGGGGGGGGGGGTGGGGGGGACGACACTGCAGGGCTGAAGGGAGGATTTAGGGGGCTGAGAGGTAAGTGGAATTGGGGTGCATAATGTGAAACTCCCAAAGAATCAAATTTTCAAAAAAAATAGATCATACAATAACTACTTATAAAAAGAAAACTGCAGTCTATTTTTAAATTTTTTAGCACAATTCAGTGTTTCTCAACATCATAGGCAACTCTTCAATGTGAGGAACTGTCCACGTAAGGTATGTGGTGTTCCTATTACCTGCCTATTAAATGATACAGTGTGTTCCTCTTCTCATCCAGTATTAGCTTCAAAAATAGCTCCTCGCACACCAGAGTGATCCCCTGCCCATAGTTAAGACCACCATTAGCCAGGCCATGGTGGCATAGATCTTTAATCCCAGTACTCAGGAGGCAGAGGCAGATGGATCTCTGCTTTCAAGGCAAGCCTGGTCTACAGAGTGAGTTCTAGGATAGCCAGGACTACACAAAGAAACCCTGCCTCAAAAAACAAAACCAAAAACCAAAAACCAAAAACCATCACAAACTTTGTATCCTTATTTTGGTTTAATGTTGTGAAACAGGGTGTGGTAGTTTAAAGAGAATGGTCCCCATAGATTCATATACTTAAATGCTTGGTCCCCAACTGTTGGAAGTGTTTTAGGAAGGATTAGGAGGTATGGCCTTCTTGGAGGAGTGTCACTAGGGGTGTGCTCTGAGGTCTCAAAAACCCATCTAATTCCCAGTCTAGCTCACTCTGTCTCATGCTTGTGAATCAAGAGGTAAGTTCTCAATTACTGTTCTAGCACCCTCTCTGACTGTAAACCCAACTGAAAGCTTTCTTATATAAGTTTCCTTGGTCATAATGCTTTATCACAGCAACAAAGTAACTAATACACAGAGTTTGCTGGGTAGTCCTACCATGCTGGTATTCGATAAGTAGCTGAGGCTGACCTGGCATTTGTCTCCATTTCCTGAAAACAGATTATAAATGCACCCCAGCATACCTAACATTTTTTTACTCAAATTTCTTATCTTAATGAAATATCCCCAATGTAGATGGCCAAATTTGTCTCAATATACACAATGAATTTGGCATAAGTTTAACATTTCTTAATGACAGATAGTCTTAATTATGCAATGACTATTATATGCTAACATAACAAGACTCTCAGAAATCGAAGATTATCTTTTAACACATCTACTACATTTGAAGATTGAACATTCATTTTTAAATGTGTGTGTCTGGGTGTGTCTGGGTGTGTCTCTGTGTGTCTGTGTCTGTGCACGTGTGAAACAGAATGCATGCGGAGACCAAAGGACAACTTCCGGAAGTCATCTCCTTTCTTCCACTGTGAGTTCTGGAGACTGAACTCAGGTCACCGAACTGGCAAGAGCTTTACCTCCTTGAGACATCCTGGCAGCCCTATTTATGTATTTGTTTGTTTATTTATCTATTTATTTTGGGGGAGAGGCTCTTGCTATGCTGTCCAAGCTGGTCTAGAACTCATAGGCTCGAGTGATCTTCCAGCCTTAGCTTCTCTCAAGCATCTTGGACTACAGGCATGTGTGATGATGCCCAGCAAAGACTTTCTCTTGACACACAAAGATCTTTTCCATTTCCTTCTTTTTAAGAAATCGTATTTCTTCTTACACTACCTACTTCTGAAGCTGCTGTATAATAATTTTTGTCCAATTACCAAGCACAAAGTGATAGATGACGCCTTAAAGATGACTCCAGGCCTTCCTAAGAATCAAGGTGCATAGGCTTTGAAAAACAGCTACTTACTTTTTCATGAAGAATTTACTTTACTTACTTTTGATTTTATAAATGCTATGACTTAAAAAAAAAATCTAAGGACTGAGAGATGAATAAAACAGAAGTTCATAAAGTACATTATACTAACCAATGAATGTTTAAGACAAAGAATACCAAAATATACTAAACTTTATTAAATACTCTAAACATAATTATTACTAGTAATACTTTAATAACTCACCTGATTTCCTTTAGTCCTTCTCTCTGGATAACTTGAAGAATTTCTTTATGACTCATAGGTGTATTGGGGTATTTTTCTAAGACCTGAGAAGCAAGGAATAACAATGAATTCTTATTTTAAGTTCTCATTCTTATAATTGTCTATTATTATAACTATGTCAATAATTAGATCTATAACATAGATATCTAGAGACTTCACCCAGATATTTTCTGTTAATCACAAACAGTAAGTCAAATTATGAAGCAGAAATGGATCAAAAAGGTTAAAATTAACACTTTAATTACTCCTATTAATGAATATGAAATTGCTTACTCGTAGTCTCCATTCCCATATCACATCCCTACCTGTGGTCTACCACTGTACACATCTTTAGATTATCTACTTTAGCAGGGTGTAGTGGCACAGACCTTTAATCCCAGAACTCAGGAGGCAGAGGCAGGTGGATTTCTGCCTCTGCTTCCCAAGAAAGACATACCCACCATGCCCAGCTAAATCCATGCTTCCTTTAAAAAAAAAAATTAAAATTAAAAAAAAAAAAAAAACTATGTCAGTGTTTTGGATGCAACACAGACAGTAAGCTTAGTTTGTTCTGTCTTTCCCATTAAATTTAACTAAAAATCTGGACAGAATGAATGGAATCGCTATTTGAGGACTCTGAAAATGGGAGCAGATAAAAGGAAACCACAATTAGAAAAAAACACAGTATAGTCAGAAGTGGATTTCCTGGTTTTGTTTTCTCTACAACCTCCTGTCCCGGACTCAACAGCAACCTGAAACCCAAGAGCACACTGACACAGACAGAAAATGTTCCAAGACAATCTGTCATTTTTGATCTGAAGCACAGTAAAGGGAGCCCTTCCTAATGTCACAGAGGTAGAGAATTCTCCTAATTTATTTTTAGGCTTTGGGTATGTCATGGTCCTTTCCCTCTCTATACCTGCCCAGACAACATGGCAGGAGCTATAAACCAATATCACACTGGGAAACTAGCCACTAGCCAACATAAATACAAAATAGATGTGAATAGCTGCCAAAGTTCTAAAAATTATGATGTTCTGAAATTTAATATACAGGAGATTGGTAGAAACTTGGGAGTTAAAGCTAATGCCAGGCATGGTAGCACATTCCTTTAATCCCAGAACTGGAGGTAGTGGTAAGCAGTTCTGTGAGTTCAAGGCCAGCCAGGATACAACTTTTGTCTGAAAAACAAATAAACAAAAAAATTTCCGGCCAGGCTGTAGTGGTACACATCTTTAATCCCAGCACTTGGGAGGCAGAGGCAGGTGGTTCTCTGTGAGTTCGAGGCTAGCCTGGTCTACAAAGTGAGTTCTAGGTTAGCCAGGACTGTTTCACAGAGAAACCCTGTCTCGAAAACACACACACACACACACACACACACACACACACACACACACACACACACACACACACAAATCCTCATAGGATTTAGACAAGCATTTGATGCTGTTTTAGTTTGATCTGAGGACAGATTCTCCAGCCCAGGCTGCCTATAACTCCCTACATAGCCAAGAATGCTCTTGAACTTCTTTCTGATCCTCCCGTCTGCACTTCCCCATGCTCAGACACTCCACATCCACCTGGTTTTTGCTAGAGAAGGACTCCAGGGCCTTTTATATGCTATGCAGCACTCTACCCAATGAGACCCATGTCCAGCTGCTCATGGCTGTGGGACCCTAACAGCATCAGAATGTCAGATACATAATCTCCAATCACTCAGCAGAACTCACCAAAGACAAACTACACACACCAGACCCCAAACGGCAACTGTGAAGATCAGACACGCGCAACTATGCTTCAAGAAATGGTGGTGCAGGTCTTTAGCCCCAGCACTCAGCACTCTGAAGCAGGAGTCATTGCCCTGCTCGCCAATAATCTTTGCCACATCCTATTTCTGATGTTAGCTTTATCAAAAATTTCACCATCATTACTCAGATGAAGTAAACAAAAGAGCATGCTTTCCTTGGGCTATTAGCCTGTTTTTTTCTTCAGTTTTCACTATAAATAAGTAATGGTATATTAATTTCTACTAATTAAACAAAAACACAGAAATAGAAAATAATCATAAATTCCAAAACTCATTATAAAAATCACTCCTCTGTTCAGAAACTACACTATACTGCAAGAAAAACCAAGAGTAAACTATCATGAGTAAAAACACTTGTGTTTACATGCCACAGTCCTTTGGTTAAGCTGGACAGAATGGTATGTGACTGTAATTCCAGTGCTGTCGAGGGAGAGGCAGCAGTACCAGTTAGAAGCCAGCCTAGACTACATATGTAGAGGGTGTCTCCCCCTCAGAATGGATCGTGCCTGTAATTACAGCACTTAGGAGAGACAGGAATACTGAACAAAATGACTGTCAGTCTAGGCTACATGATGAGTTCCATGACAGCTGGGCAACAAAACAAAACAGAAACAGGACCTGGGACGGTGAGATGGATCAGCAAGTGAGAGCATTTAACCTGAGTTTAATCCCCAAGACCCACATGAAAGAGGAAAAGAGTGCCTCTTGCATTTCAAGTTGTTTTCTGAGCTGTGTGCACATGACCTCACACATAAATACTAATAACAAAAAAGGACAGTTTCTCCTTTCGATAACCATTTTTGTTTATATTTAATTATCTTTTTTGAAAAGGAAGTTCAAGACAGGGTTTCTACATGTAATAGTCCTGGAACTCGCTTTGTAGACCAGGCTCGCCTCAAATTCAGCCTTCTGATGTCGGGATTAAAGAAGTGCACCACAGCCCGGCTTATATTTAATTATCTGAATCTCCCTAAGAAAATATAAAGAATGAGAAAAAATATACATACACTAGAAAAACCTGAGAAGAATCCAAACATTTCTGAGCAAAAATACTAAACTATTACAATTCTTTATTGTTTTAAAAGTACAGCAAGTGTAGATTTACCAAGGAAAAGTGAGGAAAACTCTTTAAGGTGGGAAGGATCCAAGGAAGGCATACCATATTATAATCTTTACCACAAGCTCAATGTAGGCTAGCTGTTTTCCAAAACAGCTACCTTACTCTGACCACAGGACGGCAGTGTGTCTCACAAAACAAAAAACAAAAAAGAATTCTACTCGAACTGTTCAAACCACAAAACACAATTTAAACAAACTACTCTTATGACAATATGATCAAACATGAAAAAAAATTAGAAATCAACAGTATAGGGCTGGAGAGACGGCTCGGTGGTTAAGGGCACTGTCTGCTCTTCCAGAGGTCCTGAGTTCAACTCCCAGCACCCACATGGTGGCTCACAGCCATCTGTAATGGGAACTGATGCCCTCTTCTGTCTGATGCCCTTTTCCATCATGCAAATGGAGCACTCATATACATAAAATACATAAATAAATAAATCAACAGTATAAAGAACTCAAGGGTAGGGCTGGTGGAGAGATGGCTCAGCTGTTAAGAGCACCTACTTACTGCTCTTCCAGAGGACTCGGGTTCAATTCCCAGACGCCACATGGCCACTAACAATTGTTTGTATTCTAGTTCCAGAGGACCCAACACCCTCACATAGACATACAAGCAGGCAAAACAACAATGCACATAAAATATAAATAAATAATTTTTTTAAAAAGAGACAAAGAACTCAAGGGCAATGGACAAGGTTCTTAAAGTACTTACTAATACTACTCCTCAGCCAGAAATAGTGGTGCAGGACTTTATTTTTTTTAGCACCCATGAGCCAGAGAGGCAGAGGCAGGCACTGGATCCTTGTGGGTTCCAGGCCAGCCTAGTCTACATAGCAAATTCCAAGTGGGCCAGGGCTATATAGTAAGACCCTGTCTCAAACGAAACAAAACAAAGCAAAACAAAACAAAAAGCAGGATTTAAATGATCAGTCTCTAGTAAGTTCATTCAAGAAGTGAAAAGATGAATGAAGAGTCTGAATTTTGTGTAACCTGGATCATTTAATTTTACATTTAAAATGTTAATAACATAATAATCTCTTACTGTCTGGCATAAGAATTATTTACTGACCAAAAAGCCTTAAACAGGATAACTAATACTTTTGTAGTCACAGAGATCAACCAGAACACAAGCAGAGTAAGAAGGTTTCGGAAGTCTGTGCTACACAAGATACACAAGATGCCTAAAAGCCAGGGAAGAAAAACGATCAAATAAACTAGGTGGCTAATGGGACAGGAGGGAAAAAAAAGTCAAATTTGAAATAAATTTAAAAAAAAAAGAAAAGTCAAATCTGAGTCGGGCGTGGTGGCACAGGATTTTAATTCCAGCACTTGGAGGTAGTGTCATGTGGATCTCTGTGCTCGAGGATAACCTGGTCTACAGAGTTTGCTCCAGGATAGCCAGGGCTACACAGAGAAATCCTTATCTTGACCAAAAAAATTTAAAAATTAAAAAGGGGGGGGGGGGGCGCCAGGCTGGAGAGAAAATTCAGCAGTAAAGAACAATGGATTATCTTCCAGATGATCCAGGTTCAATTCCTAGAACCAATGTGAAGGTTCACAACCTTATAACTTCAGTTTCAAAGAATCCCACACCCTCTTCCGGCCTCAACAGCACCAACTGTGCAGGGAGAACACTCAGACACATAAAAACAACATTTTTTAAAAAGGGCCAAAATTCTTCTGAAGTTACAGTGGTCAACAATGTCTAAACTGCAAGGTTAATAGATACATTCTGTTTTTCAACAACAAAATTGCTTTAACTAGCTGTGAGGACTCAGACTCCATTTAATCAGGAAAAGGCATCAGATTCAGCAGGCTTAGCAGTGAACCGGCATCCAGGTCAACAACTAACACTGAATTCTTCCTAGAACATCAAAACCAACAGGGAATGGGAGTCAACCAACTACTTTTGCCAATGACAGAAATGAATTCCAAACAAAGACAAAAGGAGAGCCTAGCCATTCCAAATTTTGATCCCCACATGAGAAGCAGGTACAGTTTTGACATTTGCTTCATCCTCCAAACTTCTACTACCTGATATTTGAAACCAAGGAACCAAATGAAGCCAAGATGCTACTTTCCCACCTACCAAATTCACTATATACGAACACTGTGACAGCTTAGAAACTGAACTTTACA